GTGCACTCTCGAGTGAGTCTGGCTGCTGCAGAGTGAAGAGTTCAGGGATTGCACCTAGAAAGCTTATAGGTCAGAGGTCACACCGTCTGATGGAGTTTAAACACGACTAAAAACATGTTGGTGTTTTTAAATGAAAGGCTCTCATCTTCAGCTCATTGACAGATCTTTTTGACTCGATCAGCATCACTCACCACATTTGGGGTAAGCCACCAGCATGGTGTCGTCCTCTCTGGCCTGCATCTTCTCCACACACTTTAAATGCTCCTCGGGAGACAGGAGGGTCAAGTACAGCACACCATTGTATCTGTACACCTTCTCCTCCTCGCTCATCTCCTTCGCCTTCAGCATCTTGGCCTGCAACGGGCCCATCGGTCCCTCGTCGCTCATCCTGACTTACGCACGGAGCAGAGGCTCAAAGAGGAAGGAAACTCGGGAGAAGCTGCGGACGCTGCTGGAGCTGAAAGTGAGAAAGCAGAACTGAGACACAGAGGGAAAAGGGTGTGTGTGTAAAGTAGGAACAACAGGAGGAGGAGGAGGCATAAGCACCTCCCCCTCCACACACACACACACATGCATATATGCAGAAAACCCTGGATTCATGGAGGCGTGGCTGAAGGCTGAATGGGGATCTCTGGACAAAGTTCACCATATGGAGGTGCCAGACTGACTCACACACACACACACACACAAAAGCGTTACAGATGAGCTTCCTGTGCTCCTTTCTGGTCGGTGAATTGTAAACAGCTTCCTGAAGCGATCCTCTAAATGTGAACTATTAGCCGACAATGACGAGTGGCACAGGAAGCTTTTGAAACTGTTGCTTTAGTGAAACACATTTAAGCCTTCGTGTCTTTTTTGTCATGTATTTGTCTCTCACGTGACCAACTCAGCCCATCACTCCTGCTGCACAACTAACCAGTTGTGTGGTTTCATAGCCTGACACCTGAATACAAGTGAAGCCTTTATTTAAGGCCGTGTCTAATTCCTGGACACCGAAAAAGTTAAGAAAACTTGTTTCGTGGGCAAAACGAGAGCCAGGCTCCAAGAGCAGAGCGTGCTATAAGTGGGCGGGGCTAATCCTCATTCATTTATCACACAAACCTCAGGAAGCTATTATGTGTGAGTCTCTTAGAAAGAGGCCTCAGTGGCTGCGCACAGCTACATTCCTCCAGAGGAGAAGCGCCCAGCTCAGCCCCGGTCCATGCGGGTCCCTGTGGGTGAGGCTGTGAGTTATCTAACAGTCCTCCACACGCGAGTCACTCGTCTGCCTTCGTGTCAGCGAGCTGCTGTGCAAAAGTCGTTTGAAAGTAAACATTTCCCTGACAAGAAAAACATGTCACATTCCTCAAACGCGCCACGACAATAAAGTTGTTCAGCATCGAGACAGTACCAAGCTTTACAACTCAGCAGATACAAATGCTCTAACAAAGCTAAACTACTGTGAGAACTACAAGATTCAACTAACTCTAAGAACAGAAAGTCAGTCTGAAATATCTCACAAACTGAAACGAGTGAAGCTCTGGGAACAGACGCAGCGATCGGGACACGACTGTTATTCACTCTCTCATTTATAATTATTATTAATGTAAAAATGTCTGCTTATCAAATATCAAAGAGCAGCTGAGGACTGCAGGGACTCTTTGTTTGTTTCATATTTGCGTTGTAGGCAAGTTTGTCCCAAAAAAGAGCAAAAGAAATTGTTTTGCTGTTACATTGAGTAGAATACTCAAGACGTTAGGGGTGCAACGATACTCGTATTGATATTGAACCGTTTGATACAGTGCTTTCGGTTTGGTACGCATATGTATTGAACAATACAAATTTTTAAATTTATTTTATCAACTTATCTTCTGACGATGCTGTCTGTGTTGAGCGCTCAGTGGATCTGCGTTCGACTACTCCGCCTAGGCTGCACTGTCGAGCGCAGATCCACTGAGCGCAGCGCAAGCTAGCAAGACAGA